ATGGCCGGCTTTAACCGCCTCGCGGACAAACTGTTCCGGGGAGAAAGGGATACCCCAAACAAGCTCGTTCCAGAGCTCCGCACCAACACCACAATTGCTTCCAGAACCAGCGCTCGAACTCCCCTGCTTAACCGGGACCATTTGCAGCAGCTGGGCGTCGGCTGGCACCGAGCGCTCGGGGCAGACGGCCACGTGGGGCAGGGGCCAGGGGTCCTTAAGGCGGGCACGCAGGGGCACCGGACAGGAGACAGAAGGGGGATCCGTACTCGCAAAATGCGAGCATGTTCAGGCACGCGGGGCCCCGTCACAGAGGCCTTCGGCTGACTCCCGACCTGGCCACGGACAAGAGACAACTGGAGCCCGGCAGGTGAGGGCGGCTTGGGCGGGCAAGCTTGAAAGAACGCCTGGGCGAGAGCACGCGCCAGCGGCAGCGGATACGCAGCCTCCAGCGACGTAGAGAAGCCGTTAGGCGCCTCTGGCGCCACCCCCCACGGCAGGTGACGTTGAGCGCAAGACTGCCCAGGGCAGGACTTGCAGATGCAGTCAAACGCACCCCGGGTATACGCAATGGCCGTCCACTTCGGACGACGGCTGCCGTAGGCGCAACTCTGGAATGCAGTGAACTGAAAGAGGGGTGCGATGCGTGCAAACATGGAAGTGCGCCAGTAGAGACTTTGCCGAGGGTTCTCGACACCGATGACAAGGTTACGGGAGGCAGCCTCAAGAACCAAGTCGGAAACACAATCGTAAAGCTGGTTCGCTAAGGTGACTCGGAGAAGGGATTGACCTTCTAGCTGCGGCAGCCCGTTCGGAAACTCTTCCGATCGGAGAGGGGGGGGCCCCGGAACCCCTTTAATCTCCCTTGCTCGGCTGGCCGTCCCACATGGTGGAGCGAACCAAATACCCACGCAGTTGGGCATTGCCAGCCAACGTCGGACCAACTCAACGCCTTCCGTTGTACACAAGTCGACAAGATGAACATGACAGGCGGCACCAGGGACGCGCTTATGGTCGACGGCAATGGCGTCAAAACCAAGTTGCTTAAGGCAGGCGGATAGCCTGGACATGCCAGAAAAGACCTCAATAATGAACGCTGGTCGGGAAGACAGCTCAGGCACCTGCGTAGGCTCCGGTGCGGGGCTGCTGAGCGGAGGAACATCCGACAGTGCTGGAAGGAAATCTGGTGGCAACGGGAAGCCAAGCTCAAGGAGGGCTTGGGGGACCTCAAGCTTAACTGAGGGCATATAAGGCAGCGCAGATGCCACAAGGACCACGCGACGGCCTTGCCAGGGTTCAGTCATATGCCAGTGGTCCTTAGCAGGCAGCTCAAGACAACCATCATCGAAATTGAGCACACGACCCTGAACGGGAGAGCCTTGAACAGGGCGGACATCGTGCCCTGGGCCCTCACACCACACACCGCCCCCGGAGAAATCCGAAAGCTTAAACACAAGATTAGGAGATGGGCCGTTATGGGAGTCACGATGAGGCTCAGTGGGAATGTCACAGAATATGGCAAGCGAAGTGAACACCGCAGACGGCCGGCGCTGCCGAACGAAAGCACAGAGGACCTGCGCGACTTTTGGGAAGCGGGCCACATTGGCCCGAAGACCCAGCACACCCCCTCGCCGGTACAGACCAGTAAAGAATGAGCTTCCTGACGCCGCCTTGTGAGGCGCCTCATGTGGAAGGAGCTCCCACAGGGAGAGCACAGAGTGAGGATCAATGAGTTTGCCCTGGAGGAGTTGCTCAGCAAGTTCTTCAGGGTCATTGACAGAAGCACACGAATTCAGGGAGGTCGGCTCAGGAGCATGGGAAACCGGGGGCTCAGCCGCAACATGGTGCACAGCTTGACTGACCACAGCGGGAGCCTCAGCTCCAGTTTCCTCATGTGGCGGAACTGCTGGCAACACGGGCTCATCCGACGTTGAAGCAGCAAGTCCCGCCTCTGGCACTGACTGTCACTCCTTGTGATCCCGGATGGGATGCGGTTGGAAACACTTGCAACACAGGTGCTTGCGGGGACATGTGGCGGCGGAACACTTGCACTTGTCCCCATGCAGGTTGTAGTCAAAACAGAGGGCCTCACCCGTAGGGGCATTAGCAACGCCTCCTTTCTGGAGAATCTCCTTGGGGATACGGGCGGCGAAGGACGTCTTGCCTTTGCCCTTGCCACTGCCTTTGGGGCTACCTTTGAGCTTCTTTTCCCCCTGTTCAAGCTTTCGCTTGAGTTCACGGCGCTCTTTGTTCCCATTGCCCTGCTTCTGCGGAAGCGGCATCAAGGCCATGGAGACGTGGTAGCTTTCAAGCGCTGAGATCAACGCATCATCCATTGGGAAACTTCCGTCTGTGGCTGCACGAGGTTGAATACCCAGTTCGATCATGCGGACAAACACCTGCCGATCGGCTTCCACCAACTGTGCTACAGAGCAGCGTGCAAAACCTGGAGGGGGTTCCCGGTGAAGGTTGCTGAACAGCCGGGAGATGTACTTCTCATAGGCAGTGTAGGTGACGCTCTGAGCAAACACATAGGCAATACCCCGGCGACGAAGGGCCTCCTGGACTTGCAACGCACTATGAGTTGGCATACTCATGGCATCATCTGTTTCTTTGATCACCAGCTTGGAGCTTTCAAGTTCAAGCTGGCGGGATGCACCTTTGGAGTGGGTAACTTCATGCGTCCTCGATACACATCGATCAGGGCTGAGGTACTTCAACTGATTGGCGGACTCCTGCCTGACACAATCCTCTAAGACACATCGCCCAGGTTCCATGCCGCCTTCAATGAGCACGCCTGGAAGCCGACCCCGCAGGTGCTGCAGACGCCGGTCCCTTTCTGCCTCCGGCATTTTCCTGGAGGTACCTTCCGGGTCAGAAACTTGCAGGCGCAAGTCAGCCAAAACCAACGTCTGCGCCTCAAAGACAAGGCGGCGCACACATGCCTTGCCCGCTGCATTGGCTCCAGGTGTGGTAGCTGCACAGAATGCATTGAAGGCTGACTCAGGGATGACCTGACCAGGCTGACCCACTGCATAAGCCAATTGACCCAGGCTGGTGAACCCACCGACACGAAGCTCCGCTAGCACATCATCAGGGCATTTGATCTCGCGGGCGCGCTGGACGAAGTGGGCCTCAGACTCAATCAAGGAAGACATGGCACGGAGAATCTACGCTGCACAAACAAAGAGGAAGCCACACCTGATCACATCACATGCACAACGTGGTAGAAGACTCCGTACGAACACCACTCAACTCACTGAACTACAAAGAACATGTCCGCATTCTACAACTGCGAGCCTGGTTTTGGAACATCGCATGCACAATCCAACACTCACATGCTGAATGTGTGGCCCCTGGGCCCCCCCCATTGCCCATAAAGCCCATTGGCTAGGCATTGGCACCATGTGCCTCAAGGCTCATAAGGGACCATGTCCTTGCCTTGACTTCAAGAACCGACATCTAGCCGGCAACAGCACACTGCAGCTCTCGCTTCCTCACATTAGCCCCTGGGCACATGTCGCTACCATGTAGCAATCTCTTTTCTTCGCCATAGCGAGTGGAAACGAACACATCCGTCTCCCATCCACACCTCATCACATGTTGCGTTTGCAAGTGCGACACTCTGGATTCATAAGATCCTCCTCAGAAGGCAAGACGTACATTGCCGTGCGCGGGCACCCACACACAAGGATGTTGTCGCCATAAGCATGGTGAAGAACTCCGGATCTGGAGTGTTTTACCCATGTACCAGTGCCTTGTATAGGGTTCCCGCTAGGAACAGGCGCCCGATCATCGACCCGCACGGGGTCGGGTGATGTCGGCGATTCACTCGAGCCCGATGACTCACTCGAGCTATCGGAGGAAGATGATTCCTCCTCACCGGAACTTTCAACCTTGATAGCAGGTGCTAACGAGGCACTAAGGTATGCCTGAGTCGGCAACAAGCCCTTGCCTTGTGTTGGCCCATCTGCAGAAGGTGGCTGCGGGGGGAACGCCCACATGTGTCCCCGAGGTGCATCAGGAGAGAACTCAAGCTGTCTGATGGCATCCATGACTGTTTCCAGCTCTCTTACGGGCCCCATGCTCAACTCCACAGAGTACACAGCCTCAGTTCCTTCAACCGCCGTGACATGTCTGCCCAAACATGAGCGGACCTCCTTCTTGGCCCCAGCCTTGCTGGCCCAAGAAATGCACGTTCTTTTCAAGCTGTGTGAAGAGACCGCCTTATCTTTAAGCACAAGCCTTATTTTCGGTATACTTGGGAAGGCACACCAGAGTTTAGATCGCCAAGTTGTCGATCAACTAAAAACACGGAAGCAATAAGATAAAACATCACATCCCCCAGCAAAAGAGTGAGAGACAAGAACATGAAATGAGAGCATGCAATCACTCGGACAACCCTTCTCTTTTTACACAGACGGGGGCGTGGCACGGTGAAGAGTGCTTGCATATAGCAAGAGAAAGTGGGCACTCCCAAAATCTCTGCTGCCAGAGAGCGCAGTCGCTCGAGTTGCCACCTACACCCCCAATCAGGGAGGGCGGGCGGGACAAAATTTTGATCCTCTGAGCTGCGCACAGCCACACTGCGACGGAGAGATCAAAATTCACATGGTGAACAAATCAATCATGTTCATGAAAATTCATGCACCCATGAATTGCAAAAGTATAAAATGAAAATAAGGTGCTGTCTCGCTTGCGAGAAGGCGCTCTTATTTTCGGTATACTTGGGAAGGCACACCAGAGTTTAGATCGCCAAGTTGTCGATCAACTAAAAACACGGAAGCAATAAGATAAAACATCACATCCCCCAGCAAAAGAGTGAGAGACAAGAACATGAAATGAGAGCATGCAATCACTCGGACAACCCTTCTCTTTTTACACAGACGGGGGCGTGGCACGGTGAAGAGTGCTTGCATATAGCAAGAGAAAGTGGGCACTCCCAAAATCTCTGCTGCCAGAGAGCGCAGTCGCTCGAGTTGCCACCTACACCCCCATCCAGGCTACGAGAGCATACTGCAGACTCGACCCCTCAAGCTAAGGTACGCGCGCCGCACCTGATCGCAGGGCAGCTTGAAGGTTTCGGGTAAGGCATCGCAGGACATACTGCGTGAAGGCGGATCGGCAATGTTGGATGCTGAGGGAACACGACAGAACCAAGGCATGATCATGTCGGTCTCACAAACAGTCGCACACACGTGGCAAATCCTGGTGACTGACATGGATTTGGAGTAACCCTTGACCAAGGCGAACTTGGCACCTTCGTTGTCATTGAAAGCTACCACGTTGGTGCTCCGTAGATGGCCCCTCCATAGCTGGATGCCAAGTAAGGTCGCCATTGTCTCGAGTTCGCCAATCCCGGTGCGGGCTGTGTGGGAAATGAGAGGCTGGATGTCATCGGCTGACAAAGGAAGGCAATACCACGACTTCACCGAACCTAGGGAAGACACCAGCACCCCGCCTAAACCACCATCACCAGCGTCGTGGAAACATGCATCGGTAAAAAGGAACCACGTGTCCTTGGCAGTTGGTAACACACGCCGGGGAGAGCCCTCAACGATTCTTTGTCTCAAGTACTTCAGAGCACGGCTCAAGTCATCAGCAATGCGCGTCTTGAAAGGAATCGCATGGGTATGCGCAGACAGCAACTTCAGAGCAAATTTCCCCGAGTGACCGAGGACCTGTGCATCAGCGAAGGCCAGCTTGCCGCGCATCTCGAGCGATTGAGAATGATTGAGGGTCCCCCTTGCAAGTGCTTCGCTAACTAGGCTGTCTAGAGCATCTTTCCTTCTGAGGGTGTTGTCCACGATGACCACACCGGAACATGTCTCGGAAAGATCAAAGGCCACTCCGAGGGCTTCAACCCGGTCACTAAAAACGTCAGCCTTTGGGCCGACCTCATCATACTGCCAGCCCAATAGGCGAAACAGCATCGCCATGGTCGTGTCGGTGTTGGCAGCAAGAGTGCATGTTGACGCAGATATGAAGTCGTCGTAATAGGACGTCAGCGGCACAAGCAAGCACCGGAGTGCGATCCACTGGATGCACCTCGAGCACCTAATGAAACCATTGACTGATGCACGCGACCCAAATGGTAGGCAAGGCTGGCGAAATAGGTATGATTTCCCATCCTTTGGGCAGAACACTGCCACTATGGCAAAGCGTGACGACTCCCTCGACACACATAGCTGTCGATATGCGGATGTCAAGTCGTAAGACCTACCTAGGAGAGCACCAGACCTCCCCTTGCGCAACAAGCCGTTCGAGAGTTTGCTGAACATGGCGGCTGCCACGTCGGCAGTGTCCACGGTTGGCTGCTCAAGTGTGGTTACGCAACTATTGACACCAGATCGAGAGTAGTCGTCGATCGGGCGCACTTTGCCATTCTGCAACAAAGGAAAGCGGGGTGATGCTATCTCCCCCGGGCCTAAGTCAGACCACTCGAGCGGTCCCTGCAACCATCCTTGTTCGACCTCCAGCAGGGTCTTCTCCCAAAGCTTCTCATCGAGCTCCAGATCGCCACAAGAACGCAAACTTGCACGCAAGGCATCATTGGCACGACACGCATTGGCGCTAAGGGCCTCAGGCTCAAGAGAAGCAGGGGTGACCTTGCCAGGCAGCACACCAGAAGGCGGCGCCACTCCCACTAAGTCAAAACCATGGTGCATGTCCCTAGCTAGTGTGCAATCGCCGTAACCCTCCGATAAAAGGATCTCATCAAGCAGCTGCAGCCTCTTTCGTCCAAGGATAGCGCGCATTGCAGGATCTTGGATGTGCCAATCAGGATCGGGGTTCTCCTGGATGGCCTTGGCACGAGCCGTCCAATGCGCAAGCCATGCCGCACGCTTAGTGACAACTGAAGCCTCAGGCATGACAAGCAACGCATCGATACACTCCTCCATGGCTTGGGGCAAGCTACCATAGAGGCTCCTCGGATGCCCCACCTGCACGGCCTTGCGGACGAACTCGGCTTCAGAGTGGTAAACACCGAAGGTGTACAAGTGGGTATCGCATGCAGCCGCAGAAGCACAAGGTAGCTTAGAGTGCACGGGACCAGAGTCGGCGACATTTTCCAAGCGTTGCTCGACAGGTGCATCGTGGACTGGAGGCACAGTAGGAGACGGCGTGTCGACCCACGGCAACGGAAAGCCTAAGCTAAGCAGATAACGAACCTCTTTGGCACTGAGGGCACAACCTCTTTGCGGTGTGTAGCCAATCACCACGACTCTTTGTCCATGCCACGGCATGACGCAATGAAACTTTCTCGCATCAAAGCGCACCGGGGCTTTTGCAATGTCGTGCAACACCCCCGGCAGCTTACCTGATGGCGTGTGCTTGTGAACTTTGCCCGCCGGGTCGTGAGCCCACACAAACCCTTCCGAAAAGTCCGAAAGTGCAACCCCATAGTTGAGTGTACCCTCTTGATTGCACATATCTTTGTGCATGCCCTGTAACATATCGCAAAAGATAGCAACGCATGAAAACCTGGCATCGGGGATCTGATGCCTGAGGAACCGGACCAGTGCTCGGGTGAACACAGGGAACATGGAAGCATTCTTTCGGACGCCGACACAGCCTCCCATGGCATAAGCACCTGATGACCAAGATTTTTCGCTCGCGCGAATCCCGGCCATGCGTTTAGAAGGGTCAGCATCATGCAAAGCAAATATGCTCAAGAGCTCCTCCCGTGTGGGCACATCGCCCAAACGGCTGGCAGCCAGCTCAGCTTCATGCGAGAAAACATCCTGATTTGTGTCCACACACGATGCAGCACTCACCTTCTGTGGGTTAGGGCGCCCGGTCTCAGAACTCGTGACCATGGGCAGCTTAGAGAGCTTAGGGGAAAAGGAGTGGGCCGCAGACGTCGAGGCCGTAGTTAACTTAGGGTGAGGAAGGGAAGGTCCACAGAAGGGAGAATCGGATCCCCCCACTGCTGCACTTGCTCCTTGGCCATCCTTCCCCCGTTGAGAACCAGGGAGTAAGTGCTTGGATCCTGCAGGCACGCACACGTCACCCACGACCAGCTCGTGCTTCAGTTTGCCGTCCTGAAGAGGGGGCAGCTCCGGGAGGCGAACATTGGCAATGCACTTAAACTCAGGCACCAGGCAAAGGTGCGAACGTCGGGGCTGCAAGCCGGCAGCCACCTGTGCCAAATGCAAGGGAGTGGGGCCGGGAGCGAGGGGCGGGAACCGCAAGAACCCGAGAATGGCAGTCCCCACAGCATCATAAAAGGCAGCAACAGCCTCTGGAGGCACACGATTGGTGGTTGTGGCAGTGGACACATGCACATGCTGACATGGAATAGCCAAATGACGGAATGCTTCCGGATGACGAGTGGCCAATGACAGGCGAGCGGTGCATATGGCCAAACTGGCACATGTTGACAGTAAGGGACGGCAGGGAGCCGGCCCACTCATCTTGCCAAAACAGAGATCGCTCACGACACTCAAGGGACCAAGGGGTAGAGGTGTCGTCGCAGTGTTTAATGAGTTGGCGGGTCAAAGACAACACAGCGGAAGCATCATCACCCAAAGGGCTTAAGTGGGCTTTGTGTGCAATCGGGAAGACAGTAGATGGACACCGAATGTGCACCCACAAGCACAGTTCCTCACGTGCCCATGAGGCACACAGCGCAAGCCCTGCAGGGCTCAAGAGATCGGCATGAACGATGGGGGCACGTGATGTGGCAGAACACCCGTAACCCACCCCAAAGGAACAAGGCAAAGCACGACGCACTGCAGCCGTGAATTGGGCATGTTTAGCAAAGACCTCAAGGCAAAAACCTCGCGGAGTCTCGCCCACACATTGCGTGACGGGTTTAACAAGCCGAGGCACCTGGCTTTGCACACCAAAATCAGCAGGCAACGAAGCACGGTCAACGGCAGAACAAGGAAAATTGACATCATCTGTGGACGATGTAGGAACAGCGACAGCCACAAGGTCGCCGGTGCACAGGTCTGCTGATAGTCACTCAGCAGAAGTAGCAACATCAGCAGCTTCATTGGCTTTCGGGCACTGGGAGAAGGGGTGCTTGCCATAGCAATTGGGTCTGCAACACACATGCTCGAACTTGCAGGCTTTGCCCTTTTTGCACTTGCCCAAGTTATAGTTGAAACAAATCGGCTTATTCTTGGGAGTCCTGCTATGGCAACCCTGAAGCTCCTTGGGCACGGGATCGCGAGTGGTCTTGGCCTTCTTCTTGTCGCCACCTTCATCGCCATCGCCCGAATGCTTGCGCTTGTCTCCCTTGCCTTTGCCTTTGCCCTTGCCCTTCTCCGGTGTCGGCAGCAAGAAGTACATGATCTCAGTGTTGCCCGGCAAATTGCGAAACTCTGCATCCAGTGGCAGCGAGCTATCGGCGAGGGCTTTCAGCCCTCCATTGGCTCTACGGGCCAGCTCGACGAAGACTTGGCGATCCGCACGAAGGACCTGGGCACGAGAGACCCGGGAGAAGTTTGGAGGTGGATCCTGGTTCATCACATCGAACAGACGCTCGATCCACTTCTGCATCACATCAAAGCTGGCGAGGCCCACGAGATCCATGGCCAAGGCGCGCCTCATGAAACTCAGGTAAAGCTCGTGATCTGAGGTGATGTTCATTGTATTGGTGATTTCCTCATCCTTCACGATGAGGCCCGACTTGCTTGCATCCAGCTGCACAGACTTCGGTGCCTTGCTGCCGGCCAACTCCTGATCCCGGGTGATGCATTCATCAGGTGGGACAAAGCGAAGCTCTTCGGTCTCTCTCATGTGAGCAAAACGATCGTAGAGGCTGTGCGCACATTGCCATGCACCTTTGGCCAGAGGCAGTCCCTTCAAGCGAGCTGCTTGCTGCTCTATCCGCAGAGCACGTTCTGCAGCCGGCAGCTTGCGTGGAGCATCTTCACCAACCTGCACCGAACTCCGAAGCTCGGCGATGCAAAGTGTCTGAGCTTCAAAGACCAAGCGCTTAAGTGCTGCATTGTCGCCCAAAGAGAGAGCAACACCTGGTCGAAGTTTGCCAGCAAAGTCCTCGATGTTGGTGTCAGTCGCGGGCGTGCCTGGTAAGCTGACTGCATAGGAGACCTTGGACAAGGTGTCAACTTGCGCAGCGATCATCGCCTTGGTCCATTCATCAGAGAGGCCGACCTTTTCACATTGCTTCTCCAAAGCAGGCGTCGATGCCAACACGGAAGTGGCCGCCATGTTGCTGTCTTGAGGCAAAATGCCTTATGAAGATGCACGCTGAGCAAGCAGTCCAATCCAGGTGGTTTGTATCAGTTCATAACAGGCAGCACAAGTGTAATGCGTTCCTAAACCAAATCCACAAACATCACTGTCAAGACTCGGCTGCACACCACCACACGCGAGTGCACTCAAAGTGGACGGCATATATCAAATCCAAGCACGATCAAATGCAAGCGACTCGCACACGAGTTTCTTTAGCTGCGTTCAGCCACGTTCAGAAAACAAAATTGCATCGGCTCCCCTCGTTCCACACCATCATGTGGATGCTCTGGGTGCGCTCAGCGCGTCTAAGGCAGCCACCATACCGCCTTTCGAGGTGATCAGTTCACCACGAAAACATGTCGAGCAGCGTGTCCATTTCGACACAGAGCCCTCAGGAAGATACAGGTAGGCATTCCCACCCGTTCTACGCGAGCACTTGGTCATCTCCGAGCCTTGCACCGCCTTGTGCAGCATCTTTGAACCTCTGTGCTGCCATAACGGGCCCGGCACATCAAAACTTTGGGCAGCTCCGGCATTCCGAAGGATGCCCTCCTCGGCAATCGATTGCCCTGAGGACGCGTTGCTGTCACTTGAGCTACTGCTATCTGACTCATCGCTACTTGCATCCCCTGCATCGCGCTCAGACTCAACACCGGGCAGGGCAGTGTTGTCAGGCAAGGCACCCCCCCAGGAGGGAGGGGATGTCTCATCAACGTCATCATCAGCATGATCCCGAACTCCACCTTCCATAAACTCGCCAGGTGCATCCTGTGCAAGAAGCGGGCTCTCCGGAAACTCCTGTGGGGAGCGAGGGGCGCACGCACCTGCATCTGGGCCCAACATATCGCTGGGAGACACGGCAGGTTCACTAGCAAGGATCCCACGTCGCTTCGGGTTATCAAAACGAAAGTCTGCATGTGAAGGTGCAAAAGCGGCGCAGTCGGACAACCAACCCGACCTGGAGGCATCTGGTTTGAACACCCCTGCTTTGATTTCCTTCAGCATGGCGACATAGGAGCGCAGCGGTGCGCTGAGAAGTTCACGTGAGTAGACCGCACGCGATTTGGACCCAGTGACATGGTGACCCAACATCAAACAATCGAACTCGGGCAAACCCCTCTTGCCACACCAGTTCAGAGTGGTGACCTTGAGGGAGTGTGATGATACCCCTGAAGAAGCATCCACTTCCAAGGCACTCCGTAGGATGGCTGACGCCTCTGCGCTGCTGCATTTCCGCTTAGAGACCCCTGAAAAACCCGGAACCCTCACCAAAGGTCCTAAGGGGGATGCATCCCACGGAAACCCAAGTGCGACGCCTGCTTGGTACCATGCACTGGCCCAGTCATGGCCTGACAAGCTGAACATGGGGGCAACCAGTGGCATGGCACGCTTGGCAGCTTTCTTGCAATTCCTAGTCTTGTGATGGGAGGTCTGTGCTTCAATAAAACCTTCAGTAGGAGCCCCACATCCGTCAAACAAGATAAAATCAAGCAAGCGATGATCGGACCACCTCGATCTAGAGTATAGCGTGAAAAGCATCCCGCCCAAAAGGAACTTGTCTTGCACACAAGTCTCGCTGGAGGTCGTTCGAATTTCAAGTTGGATGACTTGCTCAACACGCAATGCTGTGGCTTGCTTCAGAGGACCACTATCAGCAATCAGCCTCTTCGCCCTGCCCTGAAGGCGCCTGTCGCTCAAGATCTCAGCACTAAAGGGGATGTCGACCACATGATGCGCAAAATTGATGGCCTGAAACAGAGTAGCAGTGGCACTTGCATACCCTTTAGTACCCTTTAGTGACTCGATATAACACGAAAGAGACTTGATGCTCCAGGGCCACGGGGACTTGCCTTGCTCTACATGCCACCGGAAACAACGCAACAAGTCATTGGCTCTCTTTGACGCTGTTCTCGGAGCCTTCAACCCCAAGACATCACGGATGATATCTTCCCGAGCAGTGCCGTCCTCGGACCAGAAGCTGTCCTGAAGCATGGCACCCGTGCTTCCCTGGTGCTCGCACAAAATGAACACAGTAACCCACTTGCTCAAAGCGATGTTCCACAAATGCTCATCACTGTCAGCATTTTCATCTCTGGAGGCTTTAGCAGAACACTCATGAAACAAATGCGCATGCTTGCGTTTCCCAGAAGCACTCTGCACGGGCGCAGGTTCCGGCGGAGGGGAGGCAACCCCAGGTATGGGCACAAGAGAAGGTTGCCTCAGCACTGGTGGAGACAACACACCGGCCATTCCCTCACCAAAGATGGCCTTGAACGATCCGGTTTCCCAAGGGAATTTAGGCATGTTGTCAGGAATTGCAGCAAGCTGTGCCTCCACAAGCAACCTGTCGATGTCAAAGCAGCTAACCTCCCCCCCTTGAGAAGCACTCTGATCAAGCAGACAGCTGCAAAAGCTGTCGGGCGCACGCGTGGATCCTGTGGCCACTGCAAGCCAAACGGAACCAAGCCTGGGGATTAAGGCACAAGAAAACCCTGGAGCCCTCCGCAGTTGACAACAGAACCCCGGAAAAGGAGCTCTCGAGCACGTAACTGAAAAGGTCAGGGGGCGCAGCCACTCGGCGCGCAAGCAGGTCAAGATGGAAGCAGCGAGGCCGGATGAGGACTGGTCGAAATGCAGCACGCTGAGGCAGAGGCGGCCAATCCCAGCTGATGCTCGAATCACTCGAAGACGAGCTGGTGTCCATCCGCTGAGACCACCCGGGGTCTCAGCTTGCACGACCCCTAGAGGGAAGACCCTTAGCGCCCAGGACCTCTAGAGCAGCGGCACCCTTACGAGATTAGCGGAGCCCCAAACACAAAATTTTGATCCTCTGAGCTGCACACAGCCACACTGCGACGGAGAGATCAAAATTCACATGGTGAACAAATCAATCATGTTCATGAAAATTCATGCACCCATGAATTGCAAAAGTATAAAATGAAAATAAGGTGCTGTCTCGCTTGCGAGAAGGCGCTCTTAGGAAAGTTGAGACTTCCCCTGCCGTAATGGCTCTGCGAGCCAACACGCCATTGGCTAGGGGTGGACGGAAGAGCGCAGCACCAACATGCCCATGTAACAGAAGACCAACCTTCTCAAAGGCACACTTGCACGTCTCAAACCATTCATGATCCGCAATTCCACGCAACGGGATCAGGATTGGTAGCAGCTGCGCGACCCTTCTGGCTGCCCTTGCGGTCTTATGCTGCTTAACCCGGATTACCACATAGCCATCGCGGCCTTCTCCATCCACGTCCACGTATGCCACCTTACGGAAGTCAGATTGTCTGGCACGAGCATACAAGCACAAGAGACAATATCCGGCAAAGGCTCGATCCCAATCCGATGTACCGTGTCCATGCAACAGGGAATGAAGGATACGAACTTGTGCCACAGTGAGCGGGGGTGCCTGTTGGAGGTCACCAAGGTTAGCCAACATACGCTCAGCCGCGCCAACACACTTGCGGCTTATTTTTCAAGGGATGTTTCTTACATCCATCACGAAGTAAGCAAAGCGCAGGGCGGACAAGAAGGAAGAGGCTTTGGACGGTGGGGCCTGCGAACCATCCAAGAATTGCATGTACCTCCAAAACATGTCATCAGTGAAAGGATCGAGATTTGCACCAACAATGGTATCAAACCACCTCAGGAACGTGAGGATGCTACCTGCTCTCTTGGAGGCTGTTCCTGCGGCCCTCGACCCAATGCATGCTTCCAGCGCCTGTGGATCGACTTCGCACTCAGGGTGCATCTTGCGGTTCCTCCGCATAATCACGATCCACTTATCAACCGCAAGCCTCACTGCTTTGCTTTGCTGGGCATCAACATCAACGTCGGAAAGGACTTTGAAAACAGATGACGCAAGGTCCCCAGGCACGACCGACTCCTGTTGCTCATCGAACGAAGTGAAAGGCTTGCACGGAAGTGACTGGGGGGTCCAGACTTCCGCTTCACGCATAGAAAGGGGTGGCATTTTAAGCTCCGAAGACACCGAGGACTCGCCAAAGATTGCACTCACAGCAGGTAGCTCCCAAGGCAACACAACATCAGACAGGCCCCTATCCGCTAACCGTACAAAGCTGTCGGCAAACATATCACCCACGGTACGCGCCATTTTTGCAGGAGGCTCGCTGACAGACGGTTTCTCAGACTCAGACACCTGTGAGTCTTCCCTAATGGCGTCATGGTCTGCTGACTGGCTCAACAAATCATCACGCGCACATGTCCGGCATGAGGTATGCCCAGAGCTGAGTTCAGACACTTCAGGGTTGACGTCGACCATAAAGTCTTCCACTGCCGAAACAGGGGAGTTTTCATCACCCCAATCTAGGTCATCAACTTCTGCATCCAACGGCCTTGGCAACCGCAACAACGGCACAGAGGACTGCACACCAGCCCCAAATGGGGGCAACTCAAAGGGAACGATAGGAAGGACAGGCGGCCCATCATCTTCACTGACATGACCGACCGAAAGATCATCCCCCTCTATATCCGGCAAACCACCTTCAGACATTGCACCACGAAGAGGTCGTCAACCAGGCAAAGACAGGAGCTGGCGATAACACGACTGCACCCAATGGGCAGCAGCACCAAAGCGGGTCCAATCAGACAACGTGAGATACAGAAGAAAACGGGCCCCTTCACGCCGACTAACAAGGAGGCCACGGAAACTAGGCTCCACAGTGTAGCTGAAAATATCAGGTGGTGCGTTCAAGCAGCGCTGAAGTGCAGGCACGTGAAAGTGCAAAGGTCGAATGCGCACGGGCACAAAGACAAAGGAGGGCACAGGCACCCGGAAATCGTCGGAAGACGATGTGGAGGCACTTGATGCAGACAGGTCCATCCACTTCCCGATCGCGGGAAGCTTGCACGAAACTAAAGTCTTAGCACCTCGTTAAGAGCCACTAGACTAGAACACGGCCTCCAGTCCTCAAAATTTTTGGCACTGAGCTGCAGAGCCAGTGCTGCACACACATCTTCCTGCATATGCAATTGCAGATCGTCGATGGCATTACCAAGCGTGACAGCATCAGAAACTTTTGGGCTTCAAACCAAGACCAAACGGCACACCGTTTTTCTTAGAGACAATTTGGCAGCAATCGATAAAACACCATTCGCTCGCGAACAGTAAGCTTCCTGATTGCCGTAAGAGACGTACGCACCCAGGTACTTAAAAGAGTGGGATTGTGGGAATGACTCCTGGGCTTTCGTGCTACCTATTCTCCATAACCGATGCTTGTTGCCTTGTGCATCCTTGTGAACTCGGCTGAAGAGTTTGTGTGCTCTGGAGGAGGCAGTACCTAAGAGCTTTACCATCAGGTGGCACTTCTCTGGGTTCACCTTAAAGCCGTACTTTCGAACAATGCGGAGCAACTCTGCTATCATTTGGTGAGCCTTTAGCAGGTCTTCCCAATTGTTGATGGTGTGATGGATCGTCATGTCATCTGCATAGCCTGTGAGAGATTGCTGCATCCTTTCTTTGCCCACAACTGTTGATAGTTCCTTAAAGAGCTTGCCTGTTAGCATCGAGAAGAGAGTGGGGGCGAGCTTGCATCCTTGTTTTATTCCTGTAGTCGATTCTACTTCACATGTCCGTTGCTGTGATCTGACTTTATAGCGACTGTCTGTGTGCAGAGACGCTACTAAGTTCTGCACCGCGATTGGGACGTTGGCCTCCTGCAGGGTGTCCATGAGGTCCTGTCGTCGCACCATGTCGAATGCTTGAGAAAGGTCCAGTGCAAAGCAAATGCCCCCTACTAGCTCTGGCTTGGCATGGCCTGCATGCTGGCTGTGTCTGCTGAGTCTGGCTTGTGCGCAGGCATGCCTGACTTCGCGCGTGTGTTGCGAGACTCTGGACAGGGCATCCGACAGCCCTCTCCTAGGCTGATAGGCAAACTGAGGCACTGGCTTTAGGTAGCTGGACGTGTAGGGAGCTAGCAGATCCCTGCATGCTCCTGCCAATCCTTTGCCATCTGGTCGTATTATGCCTAGTGGGCGAAGGTTAGTGGGCTTGTTTGGTGGCTTATTCGGCTTGGGAATAAAGCAAAGGTCAGTATCTTTCAGCGGTGCTGAAAGTGTCACTGATGAATCCACTGAGCAGTGCTCAGCTTTGAGGCTCTGTGCCTGGCAGTATTGCTGGAGCACGTCTCCTGTCGAGGCTGAGCACAGTTTCCACGCTGCTGCCGAAGCTGAACCTTCGGGTACTGCTTTGTGCGGCCGTATGGAGCCGATGTGCTTGGCCAATGCTGGAGCCTGCAGCTGTGGCAGTGTATTCACCAGCACATCTAACCTGTCATGCCTCTGGAACACTGCCTTAGCATGATCTTTCATGAGCAGGAGTTCCTCCTCGGCTGCCATCAAGTATCCGTCCTGGTTCACCAGCTGTGTTTTCGGCTGCGGTTGCCAGGGTCGGAGAGCTTTCAGGGTTTTGTGGCTCAAGTAGGAATCTCCCGTATTGGCTGAGTGATCCACCTCCTTTGTGAAGTCGGCTACTCGTTGCTTCTTTGCCAATGATACTGCCTGCTTATGCCAAGTCGCCAGGTCATTGACCAACACCTCGTGGTCTGCCTGTGTCAGGGATTGGCTTCTTAAGTCTTCGTCCAGTGCAGACAGACGCGACCACATTCTTTGAGTCGCCCTGTGCATGGCGTTCAGCGGAGGAGCTGAAGGTTTAGGGGCACGCGGAAAGTACCTCTCTGAAGCGCGTATGAGGATGTCATTGACCTCATTCATGTCCGGAGGAGTCAGCTGCTGAAGCTGGTCAGCGACCCACTCCTTCATTTCTTGTGCCTTAGGATGATTGTAGCGCACTGCATTTTCAAGAGCATGCTTGTCATAAGGCGGGGGGGGAGGGGGGGGAGGGGGGAGCTGCCAGTGCCTCATTGGGCGTATTTGTGCTTCCACGGGGAGATGGCCACCCTTCTTCCATTTCCCGAGCTGGAAATTGTCGATTGGCTTGCTCTTCTTAGCATCACTTCGGGAGATAGTTTTCGGGACTAGGATGTAGTCCAATTGAGATTGCGTTGTGGCCGTCTGGAAAGTGAATCCTTTCCCTGAAGACCAGGTGTTCAGCGCAACTAATCCATGTCCCTGAACCAGCCGTTGGAAGTATTCGTCTTCGGTCTTTCGATGTGGAGGAGGTCCTGGAGTGCACAAGCCAACCGCTCCTGGGCTCGACTTTAGGGTCGAGTTGAAGTCGCCCAGCACTATCAGGGTGTCTCTCTGCGGTGTTCCTCGGATGGCACGGGACAGAGCAGCGAGGGTGGTGGATCTGTCTTCTCTGTTTTTCTGTGCAGTTTTTGAGGTCGACCATACGTGCTGGTATACTGACACAACGTGTACTCGAGCTCCCTTCCACTGAAATACTATCTCAAGGACACGTCCCTTCTGATGCTCTTTCCATCTGACAGTGTCTTTTGGAATGTGCGGGGCAGTCAGGACCATCACTCCATCTGCTCGCTTGTCATCATGCAGGGCATGGGATTGGGCTTCTGGCAGTGCCAGTCCTGTTCCTTCTGTGCTCGAATTTGGCTTTTTCTTAGCCCGGGTGGCCTTTGCCTGTCCTTTGCTGGCAGAGCTAACACAGTGCCAGCCCTCCACCTCAAATTCGGTGGTTTCCTGCCAGTGTGTCTCCTGCAGGGCAATGACATCATATTTGTCTGCTGCCGTGCGAAGCCACGTGCGAAGCTCGGCCCACTGCTGTTGTCCTAAGTGCCCTGCGTTCCAGGTGAGTACTCGGAGTGGCTTAGCCATTGCTCCCCCTCTGGATCTTGGCATTGTGCGCTTTGGTGCAGGTGTCTGCTGCGTGGAGCCCCCATCTGCAGGTTGGGCAGGGGGATTCAATCCACTCCGTGCAACATATTCAGGTGTCAAGATGCCTCGCCTATAAGAAATGCTTTGTTGAGTGCGTGAAACTAACGTGCAAGCTCTCCTGAATGCAACTTTACGAATGCTCCGAAAATTGTTGGGGTGCTCAGAAGGTACCGCCATCCGCTAGTTTTTCCCCACGCCGAGCGATACTGAGATAGCTTTTCGTGAGTACTCCTTCCACCTCGCGGAGCAGTGGAAACACCTCTCGCCTACCTCCTGAATGGCTGACGGTGATGTCTGGATTCAGGAGGCCCGGGAATTGGGACCCGGCAGATCAGACAGCACAGAGCTCGCGACAACCCATGGCTCTCTGTAAGGCACAAGCAGTTACGTTGCCCTGGGGACCAGTTGAGCCTCTAGGACAGAAGTTGCGCCCAAAGCCCGATTGACCTTGTAGCAAGTGCCCGGCCGTCTGATCCGTGGCGGCTACTACTACTACTACTACGACGACGACGACGACGACGACGACTACTACTACTACTACCACTACTACTACTACTATTTCATTCCAATCGCAGCCGGTGTCTCAGCGTAGCGTCAGGCACGTGGCAGCGCATTGCACCGGTGCTTCAAGAGCACTAGAACAGTCCCGCTACGAATAGCTGCAAACTTGCGGCCTACTCAACTTGTCAAGAGAATGGTGCACCAGTGCACCCTTCACTCGATCAAAAGAATGCAAAATCAGATAAGTAGAAAGCGAAAACGTAAAACATGAAAACAGGTCGTAGAGCTATCGACATCGCTACAGCCATCTGTTATGGCATCTTGCATTCATCATGGTGTTTCTCTGTACAAAGCGCAGTCCTGAGAACTGCAGTGGCCCCAGGAGGGCACACTGAGGGCCACGCACAGCACCCTGTAGTCCTATGAACTGCAAGTGGCCCAAGAGGGTGCACCGAGGACCGCGCAAGTGGCCCTTGGAGGGCACACTGGGGACCGTGTAGTTCAGTACCCAATAAGAAAGGTCTGGCCGCAGAGCATTGCCAGAACACAGCTTTCTCGCACTTACTAACTGTGACCCGGAAGGACGTAACGTCAAAACCCAGACCACATCTCGAAGCATACGTGGGGCCGGGGCCCAGCGCGGGCCATCCCATCCGAGGATAGGGTATGTTGCCGCCGCCGGCAGTCGGTCAGCATTCGGGACAAGGCAGCGATGATCTGCAGCTACACACTCCTCGGGTATCTGCATAAAACTAGAGGTAGACAGGCACAAGGGCTGCGCTTGGCAATGTCGAGTAGCTCTATTGCAAGCTGGCATAAAGGATCTCTTGACACATCGGTTCCACTTGTGAGTAGGTCCCTGCTTCCCATCTGTGACCTGAACTCCGTTCAGCTTCGGCACCTCAAGTCGTCGCTGATAGGCAAGGGAGTTGCCTTCCCCAGCTCCAACGGAAAGAGCTGGAACCCTCACAGTGTGGGACACCTGACAATGTAGCAATATAAGTAGAGTCGTCAGGCGGCATCCCACCCCGGACTTGGGACCCGGGCCGGCTATGTTTAAGGAGGTGTGGCACTATGCGCTCAATGGGGCGGCCTGACGGCGCGCGCCCAGGAGGAATGCGGGTGGCAGCCACGTCATGCTTGCGCCAGCTGCAGGAAAAGTTGCGCCAACTCCTGATCGCTGGTAGCCACGCACTTGCAATGGTGCCAGACTGCCGCGTTGGCAGGCCAGGGCCAAAGGCACACCGTCGACCCATGCGCCCTTTGTTGGGGCCAAGAGGCACCCAGCTGACGAGCGTGCTCTCAATGGGGCGGCCTGACGGCGCGCACCCAGGAGGGATGTAGGCAGCATCGACCTCTTGCTTGCACCAACTGCAGGAAAAGTTGCGCCAACTCCCAGCTGCTGGTAAACACGCACTTGCAACGGGGCTAGCTTGAGAATGCGTTGGCAAGCCAGGGGCAAAGGCTTTCAGTCGACCCATGCGCCCTTTGTTGGGGCCAAAAGGCACCCAGCTGGCGAGCGTCAACAGTAGCGCTAGTGCGGCTCGCTGCACTAGTCGCACTCACTGTTCGCCAATTGAAGGTACGCTGCCACAACGTGGGAGGCCCAGGTTCGAGGATGTATCAGGATTTGAAAGGGTTCTTGGATCAATCGCATTATGACATCGTGCTCGTGCAAGAGACCAACTTAGGGAAGCTAGCGAGTACACCATGGCATAAACCTGCTTAAAATGCTCTCACAAAAATCGGCCGCTGCGCGGGGCTCTGAGTTATAAGGCTTCTTGACTTTCACTCTTGACGCCTGTTGGCTGCAGACCGTTAAGCAGCCTTGGGGGCCTTAAAATCTCCGAGCTCCGCTGGATCTGCGTTGGCTCCGGTACCACCGCTCAGAAACACGCAGGAGTTATGATCCTTGTTCGGAAATCACTCACCAATGTGCAGGAGGGTGCTTGGAACCTACCATCCTCGACATACGTCGTGATTTTGGCACAAACTTCGCCACTGCATAGGGGGATCCCCGACCGAGAAGCCCTGGAAGTTGGAGGCAATCTGAATGTCCAGCTTACTCCGAAGCGCCCGTGTGTTGGACATGGCACGGGCGCCCTCTCTCCTGAACGGGCCTCGAAGCTGATGCCATGCACACGCTGCTCTCCACGCACACCTTCGTCGCACTTCATACCTGGGGTCAACCGGGCAAAGGAACCCACACGTTTGGGAAGCATCAAGCACAGTTGGATTGCCTCCTCATGCGCGCTAGCCAGACAACGAGAGTTGCGCGACAGGCACGCCCGCTGCACACGTGTCCCGTTGGTGGGTGGCGTCAAGGTGGGGGAATTCACACACCCATTGTTGCAACGCTCCCCTTCTTTCACCACGTGCATCATAAGCCGACTGAGCTTCAGCCGAAAGTTGACGCAGCACAAATCGTGAAGCTCGCGCAAGCGAAAGACCCGCACAGTGACCCCGCTGTTGCCCGATTCAGGTCTGAAGTTCAAGAGCAACTTGCTGCTGTCAACACGGTCTCCGATGCGGGCAATATATCCCAAATTGTGTGCCAAGTTGCGGCAAAATACTTCCCTCAAGAAACGCCACACACTGACAAACTAGCCAGATGGCAGGAGCCGCGCATCAAACAAGGCATTAAAGATATGTGGAAGGCCTGGAGGAAGTACCGTAGCTGTAACAAGGACACCACTTTGAAAGCGGCCATTGGACGCTGGAAGACATGGACACAGTACAATAGGCTGTACAAGAAGCACAAAGAGCACTGCCGAACCGCAAAAAAAGATTACCTGCTCCAACAAATGAACACTGCGGAACAGGCTGCGCAGAACCATAACCAGCGCCTTTTGTATCAGGTCGTACGTGCTCTCGCGCCTAAAGCAAAGCGCCACAGACCCCAGCTGCGTGATTCCACAGGGCAAATGATGACACGTAGTGAGGAAGCGGCGTGTTTCCACCGCCACTTCACTGCCAAATTCGCTGCTGCTGCTGATGCACTCACGCAGCTGGAAACCACCACGCGGTTGATGCATGCACGCCAGGGGGAGCCCTGTGAGGGCCCCACGCTGCAGCCGGAGGCGCTTGCCAGGCACTTGCAACACGCTCCGCTCAGGAAAGCCGTCCCCCCAGGTCACCCGCCAAGTGCCATCTGGCGCCTTTGCTCGGACATCATTGCGACAAGGGTCTGCCATGTGCTCGATAAAAACTGGACTCCACAGCCTAACAGCGTGCCTCGGATATGGTCCGATGCACACCTGGTCCTCATCCGTAAGCCAGCCAAAACCGGCAAGGAAGAGGGACACTACCGCCCGATAGGCCTTCAAGACCAGCTAGGCAAGCTCACCTTCAAAGCACCAGCATCGCCGCGCAATTTCCCCAATACTGCTACATGCCGGACAGGTCTCACCGCGATGCCTTACGCAGGGTGTTCGATCACTGCGCGCACATACGTGCCAAGTGCCGCGCCCATCACTGTACTCTGCACGACCGATTTGAGGGGAAGGCGGCTGCGGCCTTGATTGGCGGCCTGCAGGTCACACTCGACCTTGCGGGAGCATTTGATGCCATGCCCCGACATCGACTCCTGGAAGGTATGGAGCACATGAAATTGCCACCATCCTTCATGCAGATTGTCATGCGTTGGCATCAGCACGCCCACTACCATATCAACCATGATGGCACGGACAGGGTTGTCCACGCTACGCAGGGCGTGCGACAGGGTTGTGCAGTCGCACCCCTCCTCTGGCTCATCTTTTCACACCTTATCAGTGAAAAACTTGCAGCCAAGATCGGCTACCAGGCCACAGTCGATCTCCTCAGCATCTTCGCTGACGACTATCACTGCTCGGGTTGAGTTCAGCTCAACGCACGAGCTGGAGGTCATTCTGTCGCACGTTGCCGTGCTCCTGCGTACTCTGGCGGACATGGGAATGACGGTTAGCCCCGCGAAAAGCAAGGCTATACTCAAATGCGCAGGTCCGGGGGCTGAACAGCTTAGGAGGAGGTTCACACGCAAGACGGCCCAGGGAAAAGTCCTTCGCATCTACAGTGCACAGGAATGTATTGACATCCCGCTTGTTGATTCCTTCACGTACTTGGGAGCGATCGTTAGCTATGATCACTACGAGGACAGAACACTTGCACACCGCTCAGAGGTTGGGTCTAACAATTTTGGCAGACTCACGCGTGTACTCAGAGGCAGACATGCTCTAACGCGGCAACACAAACTCCGTATCTGGCAGGCGTGTGTTTACACCGCCACGGTCTATGGGCTTGATGCCTGTGGGCTCACACCCCTTGGGGCCAAGAGGCTCACAGCGCAGCTCCTGAGACAAATTCGACTGATAGTCAGGGATCCCGTGTACATGACGGGCACATCGCACCAGCAGGTTCTGACAAAATGGAATCTTCTCTCTCCGACTGAGGCGCTAAAGCAC